CATGAGGTAGCTTATTTTCGGGTAAAGTTTCGAAAAGGTTGATTTTTATTATTTCTTTAAAATTCGGAGGTAGTTTATATATATAAAAGTCAAAATTCTATTAAGTAAATCGATAAATGTTACTTAATAGCGATTGTTCAGGACGTAAAAATACACATATCCTGAAAGTTTGAAGCAAATCAGAGAACTTTTACTAAGATGTTTTTGCATTTTACGTTTGAATGTAAAATGCAAAAACATCTTAGTAAAAAGTTCTCTTATTTGCTTTAAACTTTCAGGATATGTGTATGTTTACGTCCTGAACAACTTCTATTAAGTAACTTTTGTCGATTTACTTAATAGAATTTTGACTTTTATATATAGAAACTACTTCCGGAGTTTGAAAAATTATCAGGGGTAGCTTATTTTCAGAATTACAAATTTTCCTATGTTTCTTCTCCAAGAAAAAAGGTGGTAGCTTATTTTCGGCAATATATGGTATCTTTAGTGATAGAACAAACATAAAACATTCTTTTATTATCAAAAACATGCAGATATACTGTTGGTTATTGCTGTCATCATGGAATTGGATGAACATAAGACATTCATTTATTTATTGAAATAATCACAATATAGATTACATCAAGCTATAATGTTGCTAGCTTGATTTTCTCTTTTTAATTAATAATTGTTTTTTACATGTTTTTTAAATCACATTTCTAAATTACAAAGAACATGAATGCCCCTGCTTAAATCTTTTTTTTTTTTTGTTTTTTTGTTAAATTTTTTTTTATTTTTTGTAAGTATAATAGATATTTCTTTTTGCAAATTTGACTTGCAAAATTCTGTTAATCATTATGTCTTTAAATAAAAATCTTGAAAACTTACAAAATCTTACATCTACCTTAATTGAATCAAATAGTGATTCCAATAAAGATGATCAAACTTTCAAGCATGATAAAAACACGCACTCTCTTTGCTTTGAAGTTATTTTGAACTAACTCCAGACAAAAAACAAATATACTGCAAGCTATGTAAAACAAACTATGGGCTAAAAACCAGAATTAGTACAATTAAATATTACTTCAAAGCAAACCATAAAACTGAATATGCCTATACTCTTCTTCAATTATCACAGGCTGTAGATTACTATGGTGTTTATGATGAAAGTAAAGTAAAAAAATTGAATAGTCTTTTGGTCTGCTGAATCGTATGCAACCAACAACCTTTCTGTGTGGTTAAAGACAAGGATTTTCAAATATTTGTTTTTGAACTCGACCCTCATTATAAAATCCCTACCAGGCAAACAATCTCAATCCACATCTGGCAATTATTTGAAAGAGAATGGGTGCAACTGCGTAAATTTTTTAGAAGTTTTGGAAATAAGGTATCAATTATGACAGATGCATGGTCTCCATGTACAAATCAGGCTTTTTTCACAATCACTCTACATTGGATTGATGACGAGTAATGATTGCATTGTATAATTTTGGACTTTATCCCCTTGCACGAATGCCATACTGGTGTTTTTTTGGCTAAAAAAATCTTCAATCTGATTGAGGAGTTTGGGCTTAGAAAAAAAATTTTGTCAATGATGGCTAACAATGCAGCCAACATAGATTCATATAGTGAAAATCTTGCTTGTATGTTAAAATACCATTATAATAATACCGCCTTTTGCTAGTTGCTATGTGCCACCTATATACTTAATTTCACCATGGTTAATGGTCTTACTGTAGTTAACGACTCAACTAAAAAGTGTGAAACTTTGCAAGTTGTATCTGCCGCTTCCAGCCAGCTCTGCCTCAAAGAACTTAAAAAAATCTTTACAATGAAGAGCCAACTATTTTTAATGCCTGAGCTTGATTGTAAAACAAGGTAGAACTTCTTATATTTAATGTTAAAAAAATTATATAGAATAAAGGACATGACAGATATATTAGTAGTTTCAAAGTCGCAACTTAAACAACAATATTTAACTGAACAAGATTGAGATAATATAAAGGCTGTAATGTTTTTATTAGAGCCTATTTATGAAGCTACTAATCTACTTTCTTCCTCAACCCACCCAACTATTGGAGACATATGCACAGTTTTTTTTGTAATTATTTTGTGTTTTAATGAAGCTAAAAATAAAATAAATTCAATTAATTCATGTATATCAGTAAAAATTCTTGCAAAGCTTGACAAATATTGAAACGAATTACAATTTTCTCTCCTAGAAGCAGTATTACTCGACCCAACGTCCAAATTTTCTATCTTTCATTCTACCTTTGAAAAAGAAAGTGTATGTCAAATAATTAATAAAACTTATCATAATAGTTATGCCCTCCTAATAAAGAAGTAAATGTGCAAGTTCCTGAAACTAATCACTCATCAGCTCGCGATTATTTTCGAAATCATCTAAAATGAACTTATAATAATATGTTAGTTAGTTGTAATATCTTAAATGAATATTTGAATATGCCTGATGAAAATATGAATATCCTTGCATTTTGAAAATCAAAATTTCCAAATAAAAAATGGGTACCTTTTGTTAAAATAGCTCGAAACTACCTGGTTGCTCAAGCAACTAGCATCCCGAGTGAGCAAGCATTTTTACTTGCTAAACATACAATAAGTACAGTGCGAAATTAGTTGAAAGATGAAAAGGCTTATACTAGTCTCTGTCTAAAGATGTGGTTTGATGCAGGGATATTAAAAAATTTAGAAAATAGTTTTGAGCTTTCAAATTATTAGTATTTATATATATACATGGTTTTTTTTTTCTTAAATTTTTTATTTGTAATAAAGGTATTACAAAATTTATTATAAACCATATAAACCACTAAGGTAGGACCGGTTTTTACCTATTTTTTGACAGGGGGTGAACTAGTTTCTTAACTAGTCCAGACCAAGACTTTTTAGGAACTGGGACCAGACTGCACTAAATGCACCACTTAACATCTCTAAAAATCGGCAATCAGAATTCAGAAATCATCGATTACTTTTTTTTTTTTGATGAGTTGATGAGTTTTCCAAAGGCCAAATGATCTACAAAATTGACCAGAATTAACCTAATTTTTGGGATACGATCTACGTACACAAATCGAAAAAATCAGCAGGCACGTGCCCACGTGACTCGGTAAATCTTTTCCGCCAGATCTCCCAGATATGTCAGATCTAGAGAATCGGTGAAATGGCGGATCTTAATGATATGGACTATAAGGCTGATAATGGGTTTATTGATGATTTTAAGGATATGGAGGATTCCTGGGAATGTAAATAATAGAATTAACAATTATAAATAAAGGCCTTTTCGGCCCTTGGGAAAGAACAACTCTCACCTAAATCTTTTTATCATACAATTGTTTTTCATATATCTTACAATCACTATTAATAAATCCATCACTTTTTATATATCGATATCTATTAATTACTTTTAATAAATCATACACTTCTAAGTCTCGTACGGTATATCAAACTTAACGTTTGATAATCACCCTCTTTACGAACCTTGCTTAAACTATATAAAACACTAGTTCTGCCTGAAACTCTGCATCACTGCTCGACCAAATCTAACACGCCTTCCTCGACCCTACGTAACCTAAAACTTTGGTTACACGAACCTAATATTGACTTAGCGACAGACTCGCCGTTTTCGGGTCTGACGACGTTTGAATTTTTTTAAACCTTTGATCGAAGGTATCTCGACAACCACTAGATCAAATTCGATGAAATTTTTTTATTAGAATTCTACAATTATGTAGAATTCGGATAAAAAAAAATTCATCGAATTTGATCTGGTGATCGTTGAGAACCTTCGATCAAAGTTTTTAAAAAAAGGGATCTACATGGGTGTGTGGAAATATCAATCGCCTATAATTTATATGCAATCTTATGATAAATTTGGACCCTTTGAGGGTAATAATTTTCAAAATTCGGGCCTTTATATGTAATTATTTTCACTTTGAGCCCTTATTATTAATTATTTTCATTTTTCGAGTCATTACATGTAAATTCCCTATAATTAAATCCTATACTTGTATATTTGGTAATGCTACATACGTACTGTTAATTTAGATTATTATGTTTAAACCTAACCCGTCGTTTAACGACGGGTCTTACATCTAGTTTTATCATCTATATGCATCTTCCTTTTTTGGGTAGATTTTAAAATCATATATAATTGATAAATTTTTCTCACGTAATTTTTTTATAAGGGAGAGGGGGTATTATGACGCAGGTGGGTATTGTGACGCACTCGTGTTTTTTGACGATATCTCGCGATACATTGATCAGAATCGAGCAATTTTGGTATCATTCGATTCGTCTTACTGAGACGAATCAAATGATATAAATTTTTTTTGGTTCTAATTGCTAAATCACAAGATATAAGTAAAAGTCGGCATTACTTATGATAGTATTAAGTTTCTTTTGATTTTTATAATATATTTCTTTATTTGGGTAATGTCCGGAGGAAGGATGCAATAATACAATACAAAACACATAGTGAACATAGTGCGTCATAATACCCCCAAATGTAAAAAACATAGCATTTTATGAGTAGATTTTGAAGGCTTATATTTCTATAATTTTTTTTTTAAAGGCGTTTTTTTTTTTTTTATTGGTAGATAGTCAATTACCTGAGTAATCTATATCTACAAATTTTTAGAATAAATAATTTTTTTCTGAAAAGTTTTATATGAACAACGCTTAGGTGCGTCATAATACCCTCCCCTCCCTTACGTATCGAATCAATATCAAAACCATTTTATTTTCATTTCGAAGTTAACATTATAAGAATATTTTTCAAAACAAGTTAAAAATCATACAATAATTCAAATTTAATAACTACATCTCAATATCTGTATTTGCTACACAAAAAAAAAACTACATAATAGGACGTAAGTTAACATTATAAGAATATTTTTCAAAAAAAGTCACGTACAGTACAATAATTCAAATCTAATAACTAAGAATAACTGAAGTTTAGAGTTTGTCTTTAAATCTTAAACGGAATAATATAAACGGTAAATAATATGTCTTCTTCACATCAGGTGGGCAACACTCATTGAGTATAAGCAATATTGCAATGTTTGTTTGAATAGCCAACTGTATATATAAATATACATGCGTAATATTAACACTTATACTTTTTATTTCAGACAATCTCTGACGAACATGCCCATATATACAGGGAATACTTTCGCGCTCTTTTAAACAAAGAAGGGATACTCTGTGACGAAAATATGGTCGCAATTTATGGTTCTTTAAAATTCATATTGTGCTGTCAATGGCGTGAAAAAAATCCCATTGGGGCGGCTGAAATTCAAACCTTTAATCATAGTTTGTCCTCTCAACATCATGGTGGTATTGGTGTTTACGTAACACCCACAGGATATTCACAGGGTGCAATCAAAGAGGCCATGAATTCTTCAACGAAGATTTTATTATGCACAGACAAGGATATTATTGAGTGCATTAAATTAACTGAAGCCAACTTCAAAAAAATTCATCCATTAAACTATGACGACGTCGTAATTGAAGGGTTAAATTTCGAGAGAGGTGAAATCAAATCAATTCGAAAGATCACAATGAAGCAAAGAGCATTCGTACCGTATTAGTGGAGATGATTTACAATAGAAGAAGGAAAATTTTAAATACCATCCCAATATTAATATTGGACATTTGATTTTTTTTTTTTGTTCACTTTAAAGTATAGATTTTTCTTTAAAGTATAGATTTTTTTTTTCTTTAAAGAATAGATTTTTTTTTCTCTTTAAATACATATCTGATGAATTATGCATAACCATATGACAAATAGGCAACTCTTCTGCTTCGTAAATAATATCATCAATTAGAATTAGAATCATTAATTTTAATTTTAATAATAAATGTGCCGTACATACTGTACATTTGATGCATTCACAATAATTTTAGTAAAAAAGTGAATTATGATTATTTCCGTTTTTTTTTATTTGCTTGTTAGCTCAAAATAATTTGAATTTTTCCTCCTAAATTGTTTCAACGCCCATAATTCCCCATATACATTACAGGCATCTTTAAGTTTTCAGCAAGTGTTAGGACGTCTCAAGGCGTTATCTATTGCTTTTTAAAATTCTTTGAACGAATTTTGTTAGCCATTATTACTTTCGCACGACTTTGTAGATTGACATCAAATGTCATAGAAGAAGCTTCTTCATATTTTGGACCACCCTTCCGATCTATTGTATGGTACTTCCAAATCAGTAGATAATAATGAAAAGGTTAAATTGGTAGAAACTTTTAAATTAGCGATTAAATTTTTTTGGTAAGTGATTTCATATTTATTATTTCGTGTAATTCTTTCGACTTTTGCTATCGATATCTGTAATTGGTTGGAATAGTCAAGCATTTCATTTTGCTTAATGAATTCGAAAGTCCTTTTATTTTTATGAGGTTCTATAGGCTCATAATCAGGCATTTTAATTCCATACTATAACTTGCACTGTTTTGATTCACAATTTTGATTCATTAATTTACTTGAGATAGTTTAATCTTTATAATACAGTATTTCCATCATGAAGTATATTACTTATTTTAAAATCATTTTCAGCATCTTGACCACCGTTTTTACCAACAAAAACATATATGGTTGATAATTTTTCGAAATTCTGAAAGAGATTGCTCTATATTCAAAATTTACGTATAGCTATTATGTTTCCCATCTATTTATATTGTCACTTCCTTATCTTCTTTATTGGTTCTAATAGCAGCAGGGTTTCTAATGGCTTGTTCAATCAAGAGCCTAGATCTTGCCAATATATTTTCAACCAAAATCCAATTCGAAAGGTATTTTTTTTTGCTGTTCACCGAATTGGTTCACAATATGATTCACGGTTTTCACTGCACGACACATGTAGAAAGTGTGTTATGACATACCGAATTTTCAATATCGGGTGGTATTGTAGAACAAGATGCAGTGAGAGTGTCTCTCAAGTCTTTGAGCTGTTTAGTATATGCTATAAATACAAATGAAAAGTACGTACTGTACGTATGTACTAAAACGTGAAGCAATATAAAGATGGAAGCTTTATTCATACTATGCAGCCGATTGACAAAGATCAATTTAAAATAGAGAAATACTAAAGTTCACATTTATGAACCGACCGAAGAGATGAAAATATCTACATGGGATTTAATTTTAAAGATTTCGAACTTTAAAATGTGAAAAACTTCTAGCTATCTTCCTAGAGAACATTTAGTTTCCATACCAGGATCACGTATTTTGGAAATCCACTCGATTCTTTTAAATCTTATGTGGAAAAATCAAATGGAACAGAACTATGTCGGCAATTCTTTTCTGAAATGATTTTAATAGGAGGTGGTTTGATTATTTAAAGTGCATCTGATTTTAAAAATAAATCAATATTAGATATTTTAAAATCACATATCATTTGGATGATTGATGAATTTAGTGAAATAAGCAGTAGACATAAATACAAAAAGCCATTTGAAAAAAATCTAAATTTTTCTGAATTATATGATTTGGACGATAATCTGTTTCTTTAACGAAAAACAATTGGTAAATGATTCTTAATTTTTTTTTTTTAACTTCCTGGTAAAATTACAAAACACTGTGTTGACATTCGAGTTTTCAAATTTATGATTACATGAATCAACTATTTCATACCGTGATTGCTTATAAGAATGTAATTCCAGCTTTCACAAAATTTCAGAACTTGATAAAAAACTTCAAGAGTCAATCATAACTTCACATGAAGTGTCTGCGGATTGCTAGTATTAATAAAGGTATATTTTCGGAGTTCCAAGGTTTTATCAAGAGCAAGGCATATATGATTGATTGATAACTACAACTTTGCCGCATTGGATAAAGAAATACCATATGGAGAATGGACTCTTAATAACCCAGAATGGGTTATAGAGTTTCTGCGTGAACCCGAATTTAACCTTATCGAACAACATCATTAACAATATTTCATACAAAGAATTCCATGGATCTATTAATGGACGTTAGGAAAAGCCAAACTTTCATATTATTTCACTCGTTTTAGCAGATTTATCTAGTTTAAAAATCGATGCTATTGCGTGTAATACCAGTATATCATGATGATGACTATTTTTAACTCTAAAACGGCAGGCCTTATGAACCATTATATACATCTTGTGATACTATCTGTTGTTATTTAAATTTTAGAAATAGAATCGTGCTCTGCACTAAAAACGGTGCAAGTATGATTAACTATCACTTTGTCAACACAAATATTTTAAGGCAAGCAAATAAATATTTGATATACAATCACTTATATCGTGTTATTTATCTATAGCTATTTTTGAAAAATAATGCTATTTTTAACCATATAGAAACAGTGATAACGCTATATTATAAAATTTCACGAATCGAATAGCTTACTTAACAATGTGGAATTTTTAATTTTTAACAAAAGAATTGTTAAATTAATAAATAATTTCTAACAATTAATACTTAAATTATCAAAAATGCATATAAAGTATCGATAGAATGTGTAGCCAGCGAATTAAGCATATTTTCCAATAATTTTAGTAACTAGTGATCATACTGAATAAACGGGACCGGGTACTCTAAGTAAAAATGTTCAGGGCCCTGAAAACCTCACGAGAACTGAAATCGAGACCCTATATCGAATCTATGTCATATTATCTTAAAAATATTTTTATGTTCTCTAATATTTTGTGGTAATAAAAAGTTAATCAATAATAGTTTCTGTAAAAATATGTCAACGATAAAATCTTCCATAACAGCTTCGCACATTGGATAATTCGTTTATTAATTGCTTATAAATTATTGTTATCGTGCAAACCATAAATTTTTTTCTTGTTATTTTTTGTATGTTATTACTTGTAAATCATGATCATAATTGCACGATATTGCTATGCAACGATTAAATATCTTATCAGTTATATCAGATATAGTATAATACCGTAACTTACTATAATCATTGGGACGATTATACCGCATTCCTAATCCCAAGTAAAAATGTTCAGGCCCCTGAAACCTCACGAAAACCAAAATCGAGACCTTATATCTAATCTACATTACAGCATTATACGATAAAACGTTCTATAATATAACAGATAAGTTAAAATTGATAAACATTGATACGATTACTTGGACTGGAAATCGATCAATTTTACCGGTGGTGTTCCGAAAATCACGTGATCGCAAATCAGCGAGATTGATATCCGTGTAACAATTATCATGTTCCTATTTCAGTATTTAAAAAAAGGTTTACTCGTGAAAAAACTAACGGTTGACGCGTTCGCACCTACAGTTGAAAATCTTTCTCTTCGTTTAAAGAGGTGAATGTTGTTCGCTACGCGTGAACTGTCTAAATTGTGAAGGTACAAGTGACGTTTGTTTGAACGAGTCTACCTGTGGAAATCAATCGTAGAACTTCGTATTCGGAGAACATGGTGTGATTGCTTGTAAAAAAAAAAATTAAATATTAAAAACTGTTATTATTATTATTACTTTGCAAGTAGTTAAAATGTCTTTTTACTATTTTTCTGGATCCAAAGAGGTAGCTGAGCACGAACCGATTAACATTGTGGAAGAGTAAGTTACGCTGGTTAAAGAGAGTCCATGTGGGCAAACTTGTGGGAATCACCAACTATAGACCTCCATGTTCCGAGATTACGACCAATGGTGCTTGCTTTTATAGATCATACTAATAAGCGAAGAGGCTTTGTTATTTCTGGGCCCAAGAGGTGAGCATCGTTCGCAGGACACGAACTGTTTAACATGTGGAGGTGTAAATTACACTGGTTAGAGTGTCCATAGAGCCGACTTGTGGAAATTGCCAATGGGTTAGTGTGATAATGACACGTCGTTCGTTCTCATTACTTTATTATTATTATCATTTTTCTTTTTCTTTTATAGATAATACTGATAATCGAGATGTCGTAGTTATTTTTTTGGAAGGCTCAAAAAGGTGGGCATTTCTACAAAGCATGAAATGTTTGAACATTATGGAGGTGTAAGTCACGCTGGTTGGAGTGAGTCCACAGGGGCCAACTTGTGGAAATCGCCAACTGTAGACCTTCATATTCCGATACTACGACCAATAGTGATAGGATGGTGTGATGATGGCATTTTGTACTTATATTTTTTTATCTTAATTTTTCTTTTATAGATCGTACTAATAATTGAAAAGTCATAGTTAAGATAAGTTAGTTTGCTTTGGAATTGTCATGATTTTTATTATTAGTTACTTAAAAATTCTGTTACAGATTTTGCTATTTGGTGATCATAATAATAGTTAAGGTGTGTTTTTGGAAGGTTCAAAAAGGCGAGCATTTCTCGCAGAGCATGAAATGTTTGAACATTGTGGAGGTGTAAGTTACGCTGGTTGGAGTGAGCCAACTTGTGGAAATCGCCAACTGTAGACTTTCATATTCCGAGACTACGACCAATGGTGATAGGATGGTGTGATTATTTTTCTTTTATAGATCTTACTAATAGTAGAAACGCCATTATTATTTTTTTGGAACCCACCTAGTATTGCCACCAAAATCAGGTACGTACGTAATCGCTGCTTAAGGAAACTTACAAAATCGCGATTTTCAAGAAAAGTATTTATTTAATCTTTGTAAATATTGAATCTATTATGTCTAAATTGTAATAAATAAATTAAATATTTAATTCAAGTTCGATTTTTTAAGTACAAGACATTATTTGAAGTTAATATCCGGTTTAAAATCTTTGTTATTTTTGAATAAACATAAAGCTGTTCCTTGTGTTACATATAAGTAATTTTAGAAATTTACTAAATCGATTATTTTTTTAGTTCGTGTATTATTAGGACTTATATTTAATATTGACCTTTATAATAAAAAAAAGTTTATAAATTTTGTAATATTTAATATTAAATTTAGAATTTTTAAAACATAATATAATAAAACTTTTTAAACATGGCGAGCACTCAAATGGTTTTCTTTTATTCTTTGTAATAAATTAGCAGCATTTCGATGAGAACGAGGATTATGTAAAATGAAGTACGATATTCACAAAAGAAAATTTCGTATAATGTTACTAATTATACTTATTTTCAGTGAATGAATTTAAGCTCGTATGTACCTGATTTTGGTGGCGGTACTAGGTGGTTTATTAGAACATGACCATGTGTGATTTAATTATGTAATTTCAACATTTCCCAAGGTTAAGTCCCGATACAGTGAAAACCTAAACATTCGCTAACATGTTTTTAACTTGATGTCACTCATTTATTTATTTTACACAATATCTCTCGTCTCTGTCGCATTAATTTATTTAATACTGTATTAGCAAAGTTAGGAAAATAAGTATTAAATAGGATCCTTACCTTCGAGATTTTTCGATTGGATTGATTCGAAATAGAATGAGTTGACTGTAGTGATAATTACAGCAATAATTTATAAAATCACTACATAATTTCTTTAAATTGCTACAAAATGTTTTAACATAGAATTTGCTAAAATTTATCATGCATGAATGAATTGTAAAATTTAACTAATAAAGTTTGTTTTCAAACGTCCACCTTTATAGCTTATATCATCACGAAGTTATTTTTTTTATATAAAATCTACATACAGTGCCCGACAAAAGTATTTCTGCACCTATATATCTCTTCATAGAGAGGTGCTACGGCCTTGAAACTTTCAGAAAACATAGTACATATATTGATTAGGGCGTGTGCTTTTTTTGACGATTTTTTAATCGCTAGAAAAATTTTTAGATGAGAACTAAATTTGGGACGTTTTTTCGTCCAAAAAAAAATAAAAAATTAATTGAATTCAAAGAAAACGTAATAAATCGTCAAGACTTAAAGCTAAAACTCCAAAATTTTAATATATTAAATTTCAATAATTTCCGTAGTAGTGACAAAAAATTTGACTCGATTTGATGAGATAATTATTGAGAAATTAATTTTTAAAGTTTTGAGATTTATTTTTATTACATTTGATTTGTTGATGTTTGATTCTTTTTGTATTGCAAAACGTTTTTCATGAATATCTCGAGTTTCAACAGTCAAGATTTAATGATTTTGATATTATTCGAATTGTCTTGTCGAGACAATTTGGATGACACCAAAATCACTAAATTTGGATCACTAGATATCAGGATAATTTCAATTAAAAAAGCTTTTACTTTATAATTTTTAAAAATAAAACTCAAATTTTATAAATTAATTTCTCAACAATTATCTCATCAAATTGAACCAAATTTTTTATCACTAGTATGGAAATCATAGAGTTTTAATATACTAGTTTTTAGAACTTTTAGCTTTAAGCCCTGATATTATATTAATTTTTCTTTGAATTCAATTAATTTTTTCATTTTTTTAAAAAAAAACATTCCAAATGTAGCTCTCATCTAAAATTTTTTCTAGTAATTAAAAAATCTTAAAAAAAACACACGATCTAATCTATGTTTGTACTAACTTTTCAAAATCTTTCAAGGTCGTAGCACCTCTCTACGAAGAGATATAGGTGCGGAAATACTTTTGTCGAGCACTGTAGATCTACAACTTTATATAGTTATTATACACATATATATAAAAATTATACTAGCTCACTACATGCCACAGTCTATATTATTACGTAATAATCAAATATATAGTGAATAAAATTGTGTATAAATATTGTTATATACACATACTGTATTGTATGTATACCTTTTTTGCCAGTTAGATAATATAACTAATGAAATTTCATAAATTATTAAAAAAAATAATAATGTGAATTCTAAGATACACGTAATTTCTGAATATATGATTCAAATTGAAAAATATGATTTACTTAGATCAGAGTAATTGAATTGAGGTTTTGTTTTTTTCATGTTACATCTTATTTACCCGATGCTACTTGACATCACAAAAGTAATGTTGGAATTCATATGCTCATGGTGTTCACAGTGAACATAAATTTTTTTAAAAATATCACAAATAATTTTTATTTAATTAATAAAATTTATTAGTGATCATTAATTTTTTTACAGTATGTGTAATTATATTAGCCAGGTTAAAATATGGAAAGCTCTAGCAGGTTTATTTAAAAGATATCTTACAAAAACTAGCTATTTTTTTTAATAAAGTTAAAATATTCTTAAAGATATTAATACAATTATTAAAAATTATATATTATAATTTATCTTAAAATAATTTTATAATTATTTTATATAATAATTTTATGGACTGGACTAGTCAGTGCCCATGCACTTTGTGCCCTCTAATATAAAATCACTAATATCTCAAGCAGAGTTTATTTTTATATTGTCCATCTATTCCATAGAACATCTGTTGTTTTGTTAACATTTTAAAGTTTGAATAATATCTTATATCTGTAATAGTGTTCTATATTACAAAGTTTATCAAGTGATCTTATTGGTTAAAAAACACTCTTATTATAATTATTAATTGTCTAAGAAATTAAAATTTTGACAAACATATCCAGAATGTTCTAATTTAGACTGTTTGTTATCTGTTTCTCTGTTCTATAACAATACTAGTTATCAAAATATTTTTGCTCAAAGTTTTAAAAAAATCAAAACACCTATCTAATAAGTTTTTTTTTATTTAAATTAAATGAATTTACAGAATTCAAATAAAATTTTTTCATTAAATTTTATTAGATAGTTGTCAAAATATCTTTATTTAAAGTTTATTAAAATAGAAGTGTCAAATTTTTTCTAAAACCTTAAATAAAAAATATTTTGCAACTATCTTACCAAATTTGATAAAATTTTTTTTATTTGAATTCAAAGCTAAATTTAAATTCAAAAAACAATTCAAACTTCAAACAAGATTATACAACAGACTTATAACTATTTTTAAAAAGAAAAACACCAGATGAAATTATTAGGCAACAATAAAATTTTATCCAAATATTACAGATAAAGTATTAGATTATACATATAAATATAATAAAGATACTTACAAAAAATTGTAAAATTGTAAACGTAGTTAATGCAGTCTCAGAGTTGAAATTATATAAACTTTGGTTTTTTTTTTACTAGTAATATAATTTTAGTAAAAAAAATTACCAATCATGTGCTTAACAATAGCCAAAAAATTTTTGAATAGTCTAATGATACAAAGTCTAACTGATGCCAAAGTTGCTTGATTTTTAAAGATCTAATAAAAATTAAAAATTTTATAAAAATATTTACTGTATAAGTATAAAATAATGTACCTCTGCACATTATTTCAAAATAAGGATTGATTTTCAGAGCCAAACAAAATAGTTTTTATCTAAATGCATGATTAGTATGTTTGGTGTGTTTTATAAGATAATCAATTTTTCATAATAAATATATTATACAAAGAATAATAAAAAAAGTTCAATATGAGCAAGAGCTTATTAACTAATTAAAGAACAATATACTCAAGTTATAACTCCAAATACCAAATTTTTATAACTATGTTGAAGATTATAATCTAGAGATTGAAACTAGTAATTAATTATTCGATCATCGATTAAAATTTTGAGTATTTTTTATTCACTGAGTTTTTAATTCAGTTATTATTGAGCACTAGTGAATGTTAAAATTTAACTATTTGTTTTGATAATGATAACTTATCATGCAAGCTCATATGATCATAGCTTTTTTGTTCTGATATTTTTATACACAAACTATTACACAAGCTAATATTTTATATTCACACAAATATTGAAGCAATAATCAAATATTCAACAAATATTTTATTATGTATTAAAAGCTAAATATATTATTTATTACATATTTTTATTTATTTATTTAATATTAATACTATTTGAAGTTAAAAGTGCAATTATAAAACATATTTCTGGTAAGAAACTTTTCAAGTGCTTTTTTATTCATTTGCAATAGTTGACACTTATTTTTTTTATTATTTTAACCTTTTATTTGTTTTGGGCCTTCAGTTTTGTTTTTTAAATTTGTATCACTTTCCTTTTCTACATTTTGATCAAATTTAATTAATACATTTCACAGAGATTTGGGTAAACTAGTTGTTGAAAATTTTTTAACTATATTAAACAATTTATAATAACTTGCTATACAAAATCACCATATATTTTTGTAGAATTTTCAGCTTGAATAATTATTTTATTATCATCATAAACTTGTGATTTGGATGGTAAGAAATTAGCAACAAGTATTAATACATTTAAAAATCTATTTAACTTTTGTTGCTGTATCACTAATTTAAATGCTTATATGATACCAAGCCTTATAATATTTTGTAGCATGTAATGAATATAACAACTGAATCAAAATAACCCAATTCTTTTAATATTTGAATGGCAGTCTTGTGACTTGAATGGTTTGATATATTTCTATCTCTAATCATTATATTTGTAGTTTCACAGATTTGAAGAAAATATTTTTTAATATATAAGAATGAGTATAATACTACTGTGTGTTAAAC